GAGGGGGTGTTGGCAAGCCTCTAGGGGCCACCACCGCCCAGCTGCCGCACTGGGTAAATCTATGGGGCTGTGTGATGGCGTATTCGGGAGCCCGTGATCCTGCACCCCCATCTGCAGCCAGCCAAATAGAAGGTTCTATTGCTTCTCCGAGGTACAGCACAGCACAGCACAGGAGAGATGTTAACACAAGGAGCCAGTGCAAGGGGGTGTTGGCAAGCCTCTAGGGGCCACCACCGCCCAGCTGCCGCACTGGGTAAATCTATGGGGCTGTGTGATGGCGTATTCGGGAGCCCGTGATCCTGCACCCCCATCTGCAGCCAGCCAAATAGAAGGTTCTATTGCTTCTCCGAGGTACAGCACAGCACAGCACAGGAGAGATGTTAACACAAGGAGCCAGTGCAGACAGCCTAGTCCTCCTGGGGGAATGGGGATCACAGGCCATTGAACCCCCCTGTCCTTGGCTCAGTCTCTTCGTGCTTCCCCCAGCCAAGCCTGACTACGCTCCCGGGCTGTGCCCCTCAGCCAGGTGGCCATCTCTGCCTCCTATCCGTTGTCTCTCCCCCTGGGAAGAGCCTTGCTCTCTGCCCAGGCTGGAACGGGGTCTCTGGGCCAATCCACACGTGGGTGAGTGAGTGGGAATTGCACAGCGCAGAGCAGCCAGGAGGGAACACTGGCTTATAGAAAAGATAGCCCCCCAGCCGTCACAGTGACCGCAGCTGGGGCTGGCCCATTGCCCAGCGTGGGGCAGGGTCCCCTGCCTGGATTGAGCTGGGGGTAGGGTCACTGGATGTGGGACCCAGGCGCAAAGTGGCTGAGGGGAGCAGCACAAGGGGTTAGTGGGAGCGCGACACCACTGGCTGGTCTCAGGGAAGCGGGTGCCCCCTAAAAGGAAAAGGCCAGTTCCCACCATCCTTACGCAACACCCCCCCCACCACGGATGGCGGATTTGGAGGCGGAATCTCACATTTTAACAATCCCTGGCTGCCCTGTCCCCGGCATGTCAATCCCCCAAGCACCCGACCCACACCTCACCCTGCCCCTAACACCTCACGGGATGATCCTGCTTTTCACAGGGAGATCAATGTCACCTTGGGAGCCCACAAGATTAAGGACAAGGAAAGGACCCAGCAGAAAATCACAGTGAGACAACAGATCCCACACCCAGAATATGACGACAAAACTCTTAACAACGACATCATGCTGCTAAAGGTACCTTCCCCGCATCTCCCCGCCCCCAGTGACCTCACACTGCTGCAGGTACCACCCCCATCCCATCCCCCACCCCCAGTGACCTCACACTGCTGCAGGTACCGCCCCATCCCCTCCCCCATCCAAAATGGCCCCAGGCTCCGTGTGACATAGTAGGGGGCTGTCCACATTAGTAGCCCTTCATCCACTCTGGTTTGGCATTCTCTGGTTGCGGTGTTGTGCTGTGTGTGACCCCTACTGGCCTATGCTGGACTGCGGAGTCTCTGGGTGTGTCTCTGTGCAGGGCCCAGCCGGGGATGGTCGCTAGGGGAGGCACGGCCCAGCCGCCTGACACCTGGGCTAGGTGGAGGCTATCAGAGCAAAGCAGGGGGTGTGGCCATGTGGGGAGTAAGGGCCCAGTTGCTGGGAGTTGCGTCAGGCTTGGCTGGGGGAAGCACAAAGAGAGCAGCCTGAGCGCAGTACAGGGGGTTCAGGGGCCTGTGAACCCCGTTCCCCCAAGAGGACTAAGGCTGTCTGCCCTCGCTCCTGTGCTGTACCTCGGAGAAGCAATAAAACCTTCTACTCTACTGGATAACTGAGAGTCCCATCTGGCTGCGGAGGGGGGTGCAGGGTCAGGGGCTCCCCCCGACCTGCCATCCCAGCCTGGGACGGTTTTGCTGGGGACGATGTCTGTCTCCTTCCCCATGATGCCCTCCTCCTACTCATCTTCACCCTTCCTGTGTCCCAGCTGGCTGAGCCGGCGAAGCTGGATGGGTGGGTGGAAACCATCGCCCTGCCCTGTGCTGGTGAGGAGGCAGAACCCGGGATGGTGTGCCGTGTGGCCGGCTGGGGCTGCACTATTGCCACCGATCATTCGTCTGCAGCCAGCGCCCTGCAGGAGGTGGAGGTGGAGGTGTTGGCGGATGCCGAGTGCAACTATCGCAACTACGTCTCCTCGACCATGCTGTGTGCCGGGCTCCCATGGAAGGGGAAAGACTCTGCCAAGGTGAGTCTGCTCCTGGTATGGTCAGAGGTATGGTCATTTTCTTCCTTCCTGTGTGCCAGCTGGCTAAACCAGCAAAACTGAACGGGGAGGTGGACGCCATCGCCCTGCCCTGTGCTGGTGAAGAGACAGAGGCTGGGACAGTGTGTCGTGTGGCCGGCTGGGGTCGCACCTTCCCTGAAGATGACTCCTCTGCTGCCAACGCGCTACAGGAAGTGGAAGTGGATGTACTGGACAACGAGGAGTGCCCATATGGTGATAACTACGACCCGGCGACCATGCTGTGTGCAGGGCACTCAGAGAACGACAGAAATTCTGCACAGGTAAATCTGCCCCTGGCTTGGAGTTCTTAGTGCATCACCACTCCGAGAGAGTGGGTCAGTGATCGGGCTGAGACACGTGGGCTGGGCTTGGGACGGACCAAGCAGGGGCTGGAGGCCATCGGGGTGTCACCGAGCCAGTCAGCAACGGGGAAATGACTCTCAGAGCTGTTTTCCATCCATGGTCTGTTTGGTTTTGCAGGGTGACTCCGGCGGCCCTCTGGTGTGTGGGGGTAAGGCCCAGGGCATCGTGTCCTGGGGGCCTGACACCCCCCCGGGCGTGTACACGAGAGTCTCCACTTTCATCGATTGGATCCACAAGAAAATGCGTCGGCCGCAGCCCTAAGCCCTGCTCAGGGTCTCTGCACAGCCTGGCTCTGCCTCGCTCCTCTGCCTTGAAGAGGCGCAGACATCAGGCCTGCTCGGCAGAGGGGCTGAATGCCCCACATCCCAGCCTGAGTTTCCTCCCCCTTGCAAGCTGCAGTCCCCTCCCCCAGCCACTCTTCTGTTCTGGTCGTGCCCAACGCCTCAGGAGACTAAAGATCCAGGTTCAGGGCCGGGTTCTGCCCCTTGGCTAGGGAGCAGCTGGACCATGTTCGTGAGGAGCCAAACCCTGGTGTGGACCCGGCAGGTTGCTGCTCTCCCCGGTGTGAGCCGGGCGAGTTACGGATTGTGTGAGATCCTTCCCGTAATGTCCACCTGCACATCCCCGCTGGAACCGCCCCCGGCCCTGCCCTCTCTGGGCCTTCCCTCCATGCTGGCCCCTGGAGCATCCACCGCTCACTCCAAACACACCCGGTCCGGGACGCAGCCAGTCCAGCTGGAGAGAACTCTGGGACATCTGTTCTGATCTGCTGCCGATCAAATACAGCCGATCAAACATCTGCCCTGATCCTCCCCTGGCCAGCTCCCCTGCCCGGCTGCCTTTTGCTGCCTGCTCCACAGCTAGTCACTAATAAAGTAAAATTGCAAAACATGACTCCTTACTGACGCATCCACCCTGAGCTTTGCCATCCAGAGCAGCGGCTGGACCTGCCCAGGCCAGGAGGGAACGGACCTTACAGGGGAGGCCGGGCTGGTGGTCCATGCTCTTAGTGGGGCCCCAGTACACCTGGGTTCAGTGACTTCATGCAGAAAGACAGTTGGTGGGACCTGAACCCCTCAAGTCAGGAGGTGTCCCCGGGGGCTTAGATGACACAAAAGTTACTCAGGGGAGAAAAGCTGCTTGTTCCCCTGTGACAGGCTGGGCCAGGTCCAGGCACTGCTGAGGGTGTCCGCTCAGGGCAAATTGCTCAAACTCAGAGCTTTCCTAAATAGGCCACAAACCAGTCCCATCGAGCACTTGAGCTGCCAATCCGGCCTGCAGGAAGCCTCACGAGCAAAACTTCTTTGACACCCCAGCTCTCCCTGGGCCACCATCAGCCCTGGACCTTACACACTGGTAAGAGGTTATAAAACCCGATCTCACCAACTCCGAACAGATCCTCCTGGTCCCAAAGAACTAGCGACAGTCCCAGGCCAGTTTACACTCTGGATCTTACCCACAAGCGTGCGCTGGGCCAATCCTTTAGAAGCTAAAATCTAAAGGTATATTAATAAAAGAAAGAAAAGGTTGAGAGTGAGATTAAGATCACATTACATACATCAATCACCAAGTGCTTGATGCAGGCTTTAGCAGAGATGTTACAAACTGCCAGCTTAAAAGTCTCTGGTGTGCATCCTATGTCAGGATGAGTCAGAAAATCCTTCCCGGCTCTCTGTCCCTAGCAAGGATGCAGCTGGAATCAGGAGCAAGACTGAAGACAAGATGGAGACGCCCCCCATTTTATATTCCTGGTGTCTCCAACCGCGTCTAGATTGGCCATGGATGCTTTTCCACAAAAAGTGCTTTTGCGGAAAAGCGTCCTGCCAATCTAGACGCGATTTTTCCGAAAATGCTTTTAACGGAAAACTTTTCTGTTAAAAGCATTTCCGGAAAATCATGCCAGTGTAGACGTAGCCTAAAGGTTTATTAACAAAAAGGAGAAGAGGCTGAGAGTAAGGTTGTTAAGGAGGGTACATCACATGCATCGACTCACCCAGTTTCGACACAGGCTCTTAGCAGAGATGCTACAAACTGCTGGCTTAAAAGTCTCTGGAGTACATCCTATGTCAGGATGGGTCGGCGATCCCTCCCGGGTCTCTGCCCCTCGCAAGGCTGCCTCTAGGATCAGGAGCAGAACTGAAGGCCAGATGGAGTCCGCCTCATAACAATTTATATCTCTCTCCTGGCCAGAGCAGGTCACATGGCCGAGTGACCTACCTCTGTTTCACATGCTGGCAGCCATTCTGCCCTGGCCGGGTTGCAGGTCCCTGACACATTCCTCAGATGTGTATTGGGCACCTTGAGAGCCATTGTCCCTGGAGCCGTGCTAAATAGCAGAGTCAAACTGAACAATTGCTCTTTACAACAGGCACTGCAGGCCAGTATCAGCACAGAGTCCATATTCATAACCCCACCTACAGACATCACACAGGTACACAAGTAGAATACACAGAAGCAGTAGAACACCAGCTTTCTTTGAACACTTCACATGGCCCCCTTTGTACTGACTTTGGGGCAAACACCCCCCTATGGGCGCAGCAATGATCTGGCTTCTCCTTTTAAAATCCAGTAACATGACAGCCATGACTTGCCCTGACACTGAGGCCGCTACATCTGGAACAGAAATAGATCTGAAAGAGCTCTAGCTGCAAAAAATCTACTCTTCTAATTCCCACCCACCCATCTGTCCCTCCATGCATCCATCCATCCATCCTTGCATCCCTATCTGTCCATTTACCCTGTTTCGATCTAAATATGTCTCTCTCTATCTATCTATCTATCTATCTATCTATCTATCTATCTATCTATCTATCTATCTATCTATCCCCATGCATTTACCTGCCTCAGGCCACACTGATTAAGATAAACCCTAAAGCAGGTTTATTAGCTATGGGAGGGTGGATTGTTAAGAATTAAAAGTGAGAGCAAAAGAGATCAAAGGAATCCACCTAGCAAATAAGTAGAACTACAAGCTCCATCTTATATACTGGGTTAGATGGGATTTGAACGAGGAATATCTCACCCTGACTGATGATAGGAGCAAACTTGCCTCCCTCTATCCAAGTCCTTCGTCTTCCAGAAGTCCTTTCAGGTGTTGCTTTGGGGAGGAATGCTGACTCTTCACGAGGTCACTCCCCATATGATGGGAGCCCCTTGTTCCAAGGTGAGTTCCCAGCTCAGAGTGCGGGAAAATAGAGGCACTAAAGTGGGTTCAGTGTCATGTGATCTGGTCACATGCTCTAGCTGCTTTGCCAAGTGACAGCCGCCAGTACTCGCAGCTTGTATGAAAGTTTCATAACAAGGCTTTGCTTTGCCACGGCCCATTGTGTTTGCCAGTGGATCATCATCCTTCTTTGGCTTCTCCACTGCTCTGCTGGAATGGCTCGACGTTGGTGCTGCTAGGAGGAAGAATATTTGAAACGCAGATTCATTGTCCATATTCAGAAGTTCAGGTATAAAGATGACACATTCCCAGAAATGGGACACATCCTAGTCAGCCAATCACAACTTTTCCGATGACACTTTACATGGCCCGTCTCGTACTGAATGCCTCCTAATTAGGCAATAGCCTCATAATCTATTTCAGAGATGTGTGTGTCTGCCTGGGAGTCCATCTGACTGAGTCCAATTCCCCCTCAGCAGTAAGATTTAGGGCAGGGGCGGGCAATAAATTGGCAGCAGTTCACCAAGATTCATCTCGGAGTGCACAGAAGGGCCCGGAGGAGACCTATGCAGACCCGGCCTCCCGCCTGAGGCAATATGCACAAGTGGGTGTTCGGGGCGGGGGCCCAGACCGCAGAGGACCTGGTTAAGCTGATGGTCCTGGAATGGTTCTATGGAGAATACCTACCCAACCTGAGGCTGTGGCTGAAGGCCAGGAAGGGAGAGGAATCGCACGACGCAGGGAAGCTGACTGATGATCCAGGTGTGGAAGGGAGTTCCAGAGAGACCGGTTCTTGGCTGTGCAACTGGGGGAAGAACCTACGGAGCGGTCCTAGGAAGGGTACCCGAAGCCCTCCCCGCAGAGAGCCAGCCAGTGTGGGGATGGATGGACCATCCATCCTGAGGGGACCCACGAGACCTCACCAGCCATCGCTGTGGGCAAAGGGGGCCACAACAAGGCTCAGTGCCCCAAACCCCTGGACTGGCCCCACAACCCGAGACTTCCCAGGGTTAACTGACAGGGGCTGGGGGAGGAGCAGGCTGCTCTCAGCTGAAGTGGAGGAGGTCCCTCAGGCCAGCTTCTCGGGGAGACCTGACACTCCAGAGGCTGGTTTCTTTGTGGTTTCTCCAGTCGCTGTGGAGCAATGCCCCTGGAGGTGGATGGCAGGAAGGTGATGGGCAGCTGGGACACGGGGGCAGAAGTGACGCTGCCTCGGCCCAAGGTAGTGGCCCCAGAGTGCATGGTGCCCAACACACAGCTGACCCTGAGAGGCATAGATGGGACCCCATTCAGGTACCTGTAGCCCAACTGCATCTGAAATGGGGGGCTAAGGAGGGCCCCAAGAAAGTGGGGGTGCACCAGCACCTGCCAGCTGGGGCGCTGATTGGGGATGACCTAGAAGAGTGGCCAGAAGGACCCCACAGGGCTCTAGACACTGCCCGTAGCCAGAGCCAGCAATAGGATGGCACCCCGACACAGGAAAAGGCTCCCTGCAGGGGGCGCAGGGACCCATCCCAGCAGACACAGGGCCCATCAGGGCTGGGACCCCGACCCAGGAAAAGGCTCCCTGCAGACACATGATCATTTTTGCTCCATTTGCCAAAGGCCATGTTTTAACACGAAAGCAATTTCCTACCAATTATGTAAACCTCTGCGCTGATGCGATCAGATGGACACAGGAAAAGGCTCCCTGCAGGGGGCGCAGGGACCCATCCCAGCAGACACAGGGCCCATCAGGGCTGGGACCCCGACCCAGGAAAAGGCTCCCTGCAGACACATGATCATTTTTGCTCCATTTGCCAAAGGCCATGTTTTAACACGAAAGCAATTTCCTACCAATTATGTAAACCTCTGCGCTGATGCGATCAGATGTGCAGATAAAAACCGGTGCTGCAGCTGTGCAAGATGTAATGGTGGTTCTTCTTCCTTCCAGGGGCATTCTGGTGGCCTCTTGGTTTGTGAGGGAGTGGCTAAGGGCATCGCTTCATACGTTGATGCGGAATTGTGGGACTCAACCGTGTTCACACGACTCACCGCCTTTGTCCCCTGGATCCGGACCATTCTGCAGAACCAGCTTTAACGGAGACACTCATTTTCCTGGCTTTTTGCTCTTTTATCTTTTATCTTCTGCAGATAAAAGACTAGAAAGAAACTCTTCCCCCAATGAGGAGTAACGGTAGTTTGAATTAGGAGTTTTAATTCAAACTACCTAGTCCGTGCCGCGTATAGCCGCGGGCACGGAGTTCGGGCTAAGAGGGATTTAAAAATGGCGGCGCCCGGGAACATGCAAATGAAGCCTGGGATATTTAAATCCCGGGCTTCATTTGCAAGTTCGAATGCCTACATTAGCCACCCTAGTTCGAACTAGGGTGGCCATGTAGACATACCCTAATGTATTTATAAAAAGTCTTCTTGTTTCCCTTTATTCCCTTAGCTAGTTTGAGCTCATTTTGTTGGCAGGGAGCCAGTAGAGCCAATGGGAAGTGCTGAGATTTTAACTGAGAGGGTTTTTTTTACTTGGGTGATGTCATCCTATGTCCCAAAACCAGGGAATCTGTGACCTTGGGGAGGCTTTAAAACAGAAGCCTCTAGAAACAGGGGATTTAAAGAGTCTTGCAGACCCCACCTTCTGCATGTGGAGTGCCAGAGTGGAGACCAGCCCAGACATGGTGGCAGCGGTGGGATATTTAGGAAAGGCCAGTGCTCCTCCTGTCCATCGGAACAATGTTTGCTCTGAACTTAGATCCATTATGGGAATAAAGCAAAACTTGCATGTTTCCACAGCCTGGAACACAGACATGGCAAATACGGTTAGCACAGGGAGCAACATGCACAGAGTCTGAACATTCAAGGGGGTTTTCTAAGACCCTTCCCTAGCTTGAGTGAAATGAACACAAAGTTGAACATTCTTCTCTCTAGTCATGAGTTTGTCAATCCTTGGCCAGTGGCCAGGTCCTGCCAGGGACCCACCTCCTCTTCCATCCCCAGCTGGCCAGGGAGCATGGAGAGATCCCTTCTCTGTGAACGGGCCGGCCCTGAGCCGAGAGATTCCCTGGAGGGTCATGCCAAGCGCATATGATGTTGCTGTCAGGTTAGAGACATTCTCACTCAGCTAGCTCTCACAATCACATCTCACAGGGAGCACAAGTCTTGAGGATATCCCAGCTTTCAGTAGATCCCTTCAGCCTCAGCAGGGCTGAACCCCAGGGCAGCGTGGCCTTGGGTGTGATGAGTTTGTTGGGGCTGAGACTGGAGGGACTTAGGAAGGACAGGGAGTATCTCTCCAGTTGGCACAAACTGTCCCTGGTGCTGGGAGGGGGCTGTTCTGTGTTGGTTGGGAACCAGAACTCCTGGGCTCTCTCCCCAGCTCTGGGAAGGGAGTGGGGTCTAGTGGTGAGAGCAGGAGCAGGGTTAAATGAAGGGAGCTACAAGCTGGGTCACACAGGGTCTATGCATGTCTCTGCTGTGACATTTCTTCTCTGCACGGTCGGAGCTCCCAGGGGCAGGTTGTCACAGAAACAGCCACATCCCCTGCATGAGGTTACAGAGTCATTGGGGGGCTTCTCTGAAAACCTTCCCCCTGTGGTCGCTGGGATGGGGGCTGATGCCTGCTCTGCCCAGCTGCAGACGGCTCATGCCTGGCCCACCCTGAGACAGATCAAAGGGCCCCGTTCCCACCCGCCACTGAGATCCGTCGCTGTCACCCCCAGTCCTCACCACAGAGACACCGGCAGGGAGCTGAGCAGGGATGGGGCCAGGTGAGTCTGAGCCCCAGATGTGCCCAGCTGTGAGCCGGCACCCAGAGCAGCCCTGGCCCCTGCTGGACACGTCCCCACCAGGGTCTTCTCCATCCAGTGGGGCATCATCCGGCCGGCTGTGCAGGGATCCAGCTACTGGGCTGACTCATGTTCTAGCCTTCCCCCCAGCCCGTGTAGTCGTCTGTGGTTGGAGACTACATTTTGATGAGGGTGCAGATGACCATGAGGTTTCCTGCCTCTTTGAATACCTCCCCACCAAACTGAGTCTATAAAGCTTGCTGGTCTGATGCAGATGCATCATCCCTGCACTGACTGCAAACATGCAGGTCCACATCCTGTTTCTGCTCCCTATGGCCTTTCTCCTGCCCCCTGGGACTTGGGCTGGTGAGTACAGCTGGGTTGGGGGGGGGGCTGGGTCTTTGGGGAGAACGGGGGTTCTTGGGGATTTGGTTCTGTAGGTGCTACTTCAAGACTTGGGAAAGGTTGATCCCTTCTGTTCATCATTTATTACAATAAATTTTATTCCAAGTGTGCCTTGTGAAGTACCACCTGAAAACTCATAATTTGCTGACCATTATTGTCCTGATAAAATAGCTGTGGCTGGGACAGCGATAAGATTATATTGCAGAGTGTTACTCAGACATGTTTCAAGCGTGAAGAGCAAACATCGACCAGTTCCCCAGAGAGAAAAGACTAGCCGATGCCTCAGCCAAGTGTCAACAGAATAAAAGGGCCTTTCACCCAGTTAAATTGCCATTCTGGGTCAGGAAGTAGGACTTGGCTGAAAAATGTTCATCGTGATGAAGAAACAGCTGGGGATACTGATCTACACAGACCTTCTGATGTTTCAAGCGTGAAGAGCAAACATCGACCAGTTCCCCAGAGAGAAAAGACTAGCCGATGCCTCAGCCAAGTGTCAACAGAATAAAAGGGCCTTTCACCCAGTTAAATTGCCATTCTGGGTCAGGAAGTAGGACTTGGCTGAAAAATGTTCATCGTGATGAAGAAACAGCTGGGGATACTGATCTACACAGACCTTCTGTCTCCTAAACCCCAGTGGGAGGTGATTCTCAAAGAAGAGAAACAACCTCAAAGGGGGGAACAGACCCCCCAAAAGCACTCCTTCTGTCTCTCTACCTCCAGCATTACACCAGACACACAGAGGCAGCCGCAGTGGGATTGAGGGCGGGATCAGGCGGGAAGGCAAATTGAGCCCAAAAGTTTGCAGGAAGGTGGTGGGAAAGATCTCCCCAGGCAGAGATGAAAACGTATCATTGTACTGATATGACAGAGTATGGGGGGGGGGGATTGTCTCACCAATCGCCGATGAGCTCGGTGTCAGCCACAGGGAAAGGAAGGAAGAGCCGGAGAAAAGAAAAAAATGATCCTCTGGATCAGTGATGCTGGCTCTGAGCTGCAGCCTGGGTTCCATTCCCCCCACAAGAGCCAGCCCGTCCCTGTGTGGGGGTTGCCAGGCCTGCTCGGGTTCGACCTTGGCCACCAATGCCACTGGGGCAATTCCGGGCGG